CAGCCAGGTCTTGATAGCTTTGCGGAAAGCCTGAAGGGTGGTGAGTGTCCGAATCTCCACAGAGATTCCACAGGGAGATCGTTCCAGAGGGCCGGAGCAGCCACAGAGAAGGCCCTCCCACGAGGGGTCAACAGTCGACATCGGCTAGCAGATGGTATTCGGAGGAGGCCCAATCTGTGGGATCTAATCAGTCGTAGGGAGGGAATTGGCAGGAGGCGGTCTCTCAAGTACCCAGGTCCAATGCCATGTAGGGCTTTAAAAGTAACGACTAGCACCTTGAAGTGCGGCCGTAGCCCAACAGGCAGCCAGTGCAGCTCGCGGAGGATAGGTGTGACGTGGGTGTACCAAGGTGCACCCACAATCGCTCGTGCGGCTGCATTCTGGACAAGCTGAAGTCTCCAAATGCTCTTCAAGGGCTGCCCCATGTAGAGCATCTTCTATTCAGAGAAAAGACTGGGTATTTACTCCCCACTGCAGGTCATTGCCACCATCCCTACCAGCCATCTTAAATGCCTGAAGGAAGCAGGACATGGCCCTGGTAAGGATGAGATGACAGATGAGGAAATGGCTGAGGATGAGGAGGAAATTGACCATGCCGAACGAGAGCTGCGCCGTGGCCAGATCTTGTGGTTCCGTGGCCTCAACCGCATCCAGACCCAGGTATGAGACAGTGGGGAGGAGCCTCCTCACATCTGACTCTGACTAGTGCTTCCCTCACCACCCCACCCCCTTACCCAATCCTTCCTTTGCTTTAGCGGTGACTTGAAGACAAACCTCTCATCTGGTTATCTCCTACCCCTTCCCAGGACATGGTGGTTTCACCCGGATGCTCATGCCTGGTGGAGAGAGAGAGAGAGACCTTTAATGCCAAGCATTTCCACACTGCCTTGTTTCAAGAGAATAAACTAATGAATGCCGTGCTTGGATGCATGAACAGGGCAGCTTATAGAAGCAGAAATGGGATGGTGATTTGGGGGGGAGTGTTGTTGTTGTTGTTGGGCTACTGAAAAATTGTCCAAGAAAAAGACAGTGAATCTGCCACTAAGACAGTGACAGCAATTGTAACAGTAGTGCCATAGTCAGTATAATACCAGTACCAATAAGGAAAATTGTAGTAGATTCATACAGCTAGATGCTCATAAGATAAAGATTGTAGTAATAATTCATACAGTTAGATGCTCATAAGATAAAGGAAGAAAAGTAGCTCAAACAGGATGTCTTGTCCAAGGACATCCAGTATGATTATGGCAACAAACTGACTCAGCTTTGACCACACGGTTATTAAACCCCACCATGTGGCTTGTGCATTTCCATGGAGAAAGATGATAATGGTTAAGAGCTACATAACATGTACTACTATCCAAAGCGGCCCAAATATAATGCTGGCTATGGCATGTTGTATCTGTTTTTTTTTGGGGGGGGGGGGAGCTTGATCCAAATAGCAATAGCAGTAGACTTATATACCGCTTCATAGGGCTTTCAGCCCTCTCTAAGCGGTTTACAGAGAGTC